GAAATTCGCTCCAAATCCATATCCTCCTCTGTAGCCTTATAGTTAAATGAAAAGATATTTGTTTCAACACCTGTTGAATTAATATGTGAAACACCATAAAATCGATCCTATCGTAAATGAACGTGAAAACATATGAAATATTTTATTACTTTGAATTTGATCGTCTTAAAAATTTACTTTTTATGCAAATCTAGAAAAAGAAAATTTGATATAAAATAACTCATTTTTTTTCTAGTATTAAATTTGTTTTTGATACTAATTAACTCTTATATACAAAGCACTTAAGAGAAATCCAATGTTTCATTTGTGAACAGGAATACTTACGAACTATTCTTTTCATGAATCTAGAAAAGTTCTTAGAGTTGCAGTTTGAGATTTTTAGAAGATGAATTCATTAGAAGAATGTTTTTTTTCTAAACTTTATGACTTATGCCGATTTAAAGGATACAGCATCTGATTCTATTCTTGTAAGATTTAATTTGTCGACAATTTGTAAATCGTAAACGAAACAAGAAATTTAAGTTTCCTCATCAATAGAAAATAATAATTTTTTTCTGATATCTTCCGCTTATGTAGATACAAGCTTTCGTTTTTTTTATTTACATCCACTGAACCTCTATTTGGGATATGACAGAGAGAGCATATTTATTGCTGTAAGTGAATTTCCCGTTAAATAATTTGATAGACTTTAATAAGGATCTGAATGTATTCGAAACTTAGAACGAAATGAACTCATATCCCAACATACTAATGTTGCTTGAACGATAGTATCAACTTAGTTTGGATAGAAATATAGAATGCTGATAACGAATGAATAGATTTTTAAATCCGATTGATACAATAAGAGAGTAAATGTGAAGTTACGACGTAGCAAAAATTTTATTGCTTACTTAGATTGACATATATACTAAATTGAAAAAAAAGACGTAAAACGTTATGAAAATCTTCTAGTAAACAAAATTGTTACTTTTCGTCTAGTACATCTTTTACACTTCAAGCAACATTGGTTATTTCAAAACAAATAAAGTGTGATCACAACAAAAAAAAACACCGAAAGAAAAAATCTATTAGAGTTACACTATTAAAAAGAATTCGTTTCATTCATTTGCTATTGATATAAAATCATACTAGTTATTAAATTTCAATTTTTAATTTATTTATTTAAAAATAATTAGGATTATCTAGAATAAAAATATAAACAAAGTATATCCAAAATAACAAAAACTTTTACCATCATAAATGTAAACTATTATTAATATATTTAGTTGAATAATTTTTGAGTAAGTTTTCTAATTTCATTAAAATTTTTGTTTATTTTAAACATACTTTTGATACTTTTCAAAATAGATAAATAACATAAATTTTGTGTTTTATTATGAGTTTTTGCTAGTAAAAGTCAAATTATTTGTCCGATTTGTTTTCTGTTTATTTAAACTTTGAAATATTATAATCTTGGAAATAAATCAAATACAAATTAAATATTACTTAATGAATGTCTCCAATCAAGATTTCAATAATAACGAATTCAAAATTAATATATTTACATTAGGTTTAAAATAAAATAAATAATATTTTTAATTGAAAAATAATTCACATAATTATGTCCGATTTCTTCACTAGCTATTTAAAGATGTTTCATTGAATTTAAATTTTCTTTTTCAATATTTGAAAATATTGAATTGACCAACTCCCAATAATAGATATTATTTTTTCTTCTAAATCAAAAATGAATACAATCAATCTGTAGAACTTATTAGTCTAGTCTCTTTTTTTTTCGACTAATTTTAGAACGAAATCACTTAACGAAATGACAGTTTCGACGTATCGACAGGTAATTTATTAATTTAGAATCAATTTTCATTTTTATCTGTTATTTTATAAGGAAATTGTCAAAATGAGTATTTATATATTTAAAAAGATTGTCTGATGAACTAATGACTATTTGATATCAGTAAAAAAAAATTTTTATTACTAGAAAAACGAATTTTTATGTTTTTCTATCATCATCCAGTTGTACCGAGAATAACTTATAAACATTAGTCGATGATTCTTCAGTTACTATAAAAGATGT